TAAAAAATAAATTTGCTGGTTGCTGCATTTGCACCAGTCCTAACCCTGTTGTATGTCTTTTTTAGAAATCCCACTCTACCTCTCCCCGTGTAAACCCTCTGCAGGTGCAAGTCACTGCAGCTGGCACCTGAACAGGGACCTGAAGGTGGGTGCAGTGAGGACCCCAGAGAAAAAGCCAGCATCAAGGTAAGGAAAGAAAGTATATAAAAATCCTGGGGCATAGTGAAATTAAGTAGGAGTAAAATGGGGCAAGTTGAGTCAAGAGAAAGGCAATTATATGCACAAATGGTAAAATCTATGCTTTCTAGTAGGGGAGTTAAAGTTTCTTCTGCTCAAATTGAAAGGTTTTTAAAATTTGTTCAACTGTCTAAAATTATTCAAGGGCCAGATGAGAGATATCAGGATTTTGTAGATTGTTTACTGCAAGTTGTAGGTCTAGTGGTAGTGGATGGAGAAGCAGGAACTTTATTAGTAAAACAACTTGCTTTTGAAAATGCTAATGCTGCATGTCAAACTATTTAAAGACCTTTTTATAAGAGACCTGACTTAACTGATTACATTAGGCTTTGTTCTGAGGTAGGACCATCTTACATGCAAGGAGTCGCTTTGGCTGCTGCATTACAAGGAACCACCATTGAAGGGATTGTTCAGCAACAACGTTCCAGAGAAATAACTTGTTATCGCTGTGCAAAGAAGGGGCATGTGGAAAAGGATCTCAGGGGGAATAATGAAAGCAAGGATAGGGGGAAAAATCAAAGACAGCCGGGTAAATGTCCACACTGTGAAAGAGGGAAGCATTGGGCTAACGAATGCAGATCCAGAACAGACTCGGAAAAAGGTGAAGAAAGTGATAAAGATAGGAAAGACAATGGAATGCAAAGGGAGGAAGAGGAGTACGCAGAAGTAGCTGAGGAGGAATTAGGTCCAGAATTAGCAAGGAAAGAATCAGATGTTGTGATAGAAGAAAGTGATGTTCAAGAGCTTATAGGATTTCTAAAACCAATGCTTAAAAGTCATTCTGCTAACAGCCCTTTAGTTGCTTCAATTCCCGAAGCTACTTTCACTTTCTCATGGCCAAATCACGGGGAGGAGAAAGACAAGCTGCCTCCCAATCCAGGAATGATAGCTTTTCCCATATCAGAGCTTGTGCAGAGATCGGCGGAACTGCATGACAAGCTGAGTTGTTTGCGGGGCTATAGCTGGTGCTATGATTGGTGGAAAGCCCTCCGTCTGCTAAAATCAGTGACAGGCGCTGGAGGACTCTGCAACCCTATCTCATTTTCCTAAGCCTACAAGAAAGTGTTCCCCTCGAGGACCAATGTTTTATAGAACAAAAGAAGGAGAGACTTTACAATGGGGTCGAGGGTTTGCTCTTATCTCCACAGATTCTGGAGCTGAGTGGTTGCCAACCCGACTTCTGAAATGGAGAGATGGCTAAGAAGTCCCGCACTCAAAAGTTTCTGCAAGAGCTTCAAATTTTACTTTACTTTTTGCTAAAGAAGAAGATGGAGAATTTCACTGGGGATCTAAAGAAGCTTCATCTCACTCCACAAGAACCCCCTTTGAAGAGGTAGCGCCATCTGTCCAACGGTACCCAGGAAGCAGCTCTGATGACCTGGGGTCAAGTGAAGAGGTTGACTGAGGAAGTGCTCGAATGGTAAAAGGAAAGGGAATGATGACCTCGCCTGAGCATGTTTGTGGCTCTGCTGGCTCTGCTGTCTGTTCAGTAGCTCATCTTCTAGTGGAGACTGAACACATGATTATGGACTGGGGAATTGTTAATCCTAAAGGAAAGGACGAGATGGAAAAGATGCATTTTTCTGGAGGATGGGTGCCAAGAATTTTAACCAGTGATCAAGGAGGGTATCAACCTACTGTG